CTGGGACTACAGGCGCCCGCCACCTCGCCCGGCTAGTTTTTTGTATTTTTTAGTAGAGACGGGGTTTCACTGGGTTAGCCAGGATGGTCTCGATCTGCTGACCTCGTGATCTGCCCATCTCGGCCTCCCAAAGTGCTGGGATTACAGGCTTGAGCCACCACGCCCGGCCTGGTATAGAGGTCTTAATAGCCAACAAGGACTGTTATTAGAACGAATAGTAATATGACTACTGTCACATTTTGCAAATGTGTAAAGAAGAAAGAGGGTTAAATGAATCAAAGGGAGACAGCCCCACTCACCCTGTTCTGCCCCAGAAGACTGAGAGATCCCCACCATCTGGGAAGCTGCCTCACCAGGAGTTCCAGCTGGGGCTACAGGACTGGCTACTTTGCTACAATGGCCTGTCGTTCCTGAGCCCAGTGGAGAGTCCCAGTGGGGGCGGGAGTTATTGATAGGGGCAGTAGAGTTGTAGAGAAACTCTCTGAACTTCTGTGGAGGTCTGGTGCGGGGGAGGAGTGAACAGGTAAGAGGCTAGGTGGGGATGCAGCAGAGGAAGGGGGCAGGAGTGTCCCAGGAGGGGGCGGTACTGAGGGAGTGATTCAGCTGGGTCTGAGAGGGAGGGAAGGGTGAGGGGGATAGCCCTTTGGAGTGGGCAGGGACATGACCACAGAAAATCTGGGAAGTGGAAACAGACAGGAACTTGCTGGAGTTCTTGGAGCTTTGTGTGGGGCACTGCGGGAAGAAGGTAGGCTCTCCACCCTGACCTGCCCCCACCTCCGGATGAGGGTCTTCTCTGCCTGTTCGATGATGTGCTGCCCCTGCTCTTGGAGGAAGAGGCCTCCCAGCCACCCTCTCCTGCCAGTCTCCTTGCCCTGCTGACCCAGACAGATCTGCTATCCCTGCAGCATCCAGGAAGGCCACAGGGAGGGGGCCCAGGTGGCATGGGTTTCTGAGGCCTGAGATCTGCTCTGAGTCCCGCTCTCACTAACCCCCTTTGCCCCTCTGTGACAGTGTGTGTACGTATGTGTGCATGTGTGTACCTGTGTGGTGTGGCTCACAAGGTCACCCCTGGGGGTGGGATAATAAGAGGTAAAGTGTGACCCCCCTCTTCCATACATTCATACTTTTTTTTCAAACTTGTGAATATTCACATTGGTTTTTTTTTTTTTTTTTTTTTTTTTTTGAGACAGAGTCTCGCTCTGTCGCCCAGGCTGGAGTGCAATCTCCGCTCACTGCAAGCTCTGCCTCCCGGGTTCAAGTGATTCTCCTGCCTCAGCCTCCCGAGTAGCTGGGACTACAGGCGCCCACCACCACACCCGGCTAATTTTTTTTGTAGTTTTAGTAGAGACGGGGTTTCACCATGTTAGCCAGGATGGTCTCGATCTCCTGACCTCGTGATCCACCTGCCTCGGCCTCCCAAAGTGCTGGGATTACAGGCATGAGCCACCACGCCCGGCCACACATTGTTAATAATTTTGTGCATCCCATGACTTCGAATAGAGCACTTAGATGCCGATGACCCCCCACCAAAGAAACCCCACTGTCTCCCACAGACTCCAGGTCTGTATCTGCAACTGCCTACTCAATACAACATGTCCACCTGATGCAATGAACTTAATGTGTCCAAACCCCAATTCCAGATTTCCAGTCCTCCTGCTGGCTCCTTCCCCAGTCTTCTCTACTTTACTATGTGACCACTCCTTTTTTCCCAATACTTGTCTTAAAAACCCTGGAGTAGTCCTTGCCTGCAGTCTCTCTCACCTTTCAACCAATTCATCAGCAAATACTGACAGCTCTAGCTTCACTCATCAAACCATATTCCGAAATCACCCTATTCTGGATTGCACGGTGTCATCTCTCCCTTGAATTACAGCTGTAGCCTCCTAACTAGTTTTCTTGATTCCACTCTTGCCCATCAGCAGTAAAATTACCACAGTGCATTTAAAATGATCTTTTAAAACTGATAGGGCTGGGCGTGATGGCTCATGCCTGTAATTGCAGCACTTTGTGAGGCTGACATTATTGCTTGAGGTCAGGAGTTTGTGACCAACCAGGTGAAACCCTGTGTCTACTAAAAATACAAAAATTAGCCAGGCATGGTAGTGGGTACCTGTAAACCCAGCTGTCCGGAGGCTGACAAAGGAGAATCGCTTGAATTAGGGAGGTGGAGGCTGCAGTGAGCCAAGATTGGGACACTGCACTTCAGCCTAGGCAACAGAGACTTTGTCTCAAATAAATAAAAATTGGCTGGGCATGGTGGCTCACGCCTGTAATCCCAGCACTTTGGAAGGCTGAGGTGGGTGGATCACCTGAGGTCAGGAGTTCAAGACCAGCCTGGCCAACATGGCGAAACCCTGTTTCTACTAAAAACCCAAAAGTTAGCCAGGTGTGGTGGCACGTGCCTGTAATCCCAGCTACTCAGGCGGCTGAAGCAGGAGAATTGCTTGAACCTGGGAGGTGTAGGCTGCAGTGAGCGGAGATTGTGCCATTGCACTCTAGCCTGGGCAACAAGAGTGAAACTCCACCTCAGAATAATAATAAAAAAATGAAAAAAAATAAAATAAAAAAGGGAGCCTGGGCAACAAAGTGAGACCCGGTCTCTACAAAAAAATAAAATTATTTGGATGTGGTGACATATATCTGTAGTCCCAGCTACTTGGGAGGCTGAGGTGGGAAGACTGAGCCCAGGAGGTCGAGGCCACAGTAAACTGTGGGCACACCCACTGCACTCCAGCCTGGGCAATAGAGGGAGACCCTGTCTCAAAAAAAGAAAGAGGGGCCGGGCGTGGTGGCTCAAGCCTGTCATCCCAGCACTTTGGGAGGCCGAGACGGGTGGATCAGGAGGTCAGGAGATGGAGACCATCCTGGCTAACACGGTGAAACCCCGTCTCTACTAAAAAAT